TTTCCCTAGTCCCCGACTTACGAGGAAAATAACTGAAATGACAAATGTTCCTTCTGTTCCTTGTGTCTACTTTCTCCAGTCCTTCTTTGTGTATAAAACCAACTTCTTCTGTTCAGGCATTGAAACTTCTGTATTTCTTGAGAGGGAGATTATTGTTGTAGAACACGTGCGCTCGCTAGAGAGAGAGAGACAGAAAGCGAGAAATCACCCCAAGGGAGATGACCACGTTGCAATCCCTTCTCCTTGTAGGATTTTGGGCATGCACGAACACACACCCAGTAAATATTTCTGTTGGGTAAATATTTAGCCGTGCAATGACTGGATCATTTTATAATTTAGGGGTTAAAAAAACATTTTTTTAAAGAGAGGCTTTTGCGATAGGGTGCGTGTGCTCCCTGGAGAGACAGAGAGACAGAAAGCAACAAGTTATCCCCCAGGGAGGATCGCCATGCAGCAGTCCCTTCTCCTCCATTCTCCTCTGGGGGATCTTGGGCATGCATGCACACTCACCTGGCATGAGCTCAAGCAGGGACCGAGACTCGAACTGTGGTCAACTACATGGGGGTCCAGCGGGTCCAGTGATGTAACCTTATGTCTTCTGCTGATCCCTATAATTTAGTTTATTAACAGGTGACGTGATAGTTGGGGCATTGGACACCACTTGGGTAAACACAGTTCAAATCCCAGACCTGGTGGCTTGCCTTCTTGCTTTCTCTCTCTCTCTCTCTGGTCATATTTTTAAAATAATAAGTTAACAAAGGCCAGACTGGTTTTCAAAGTGGTGGGAAATCGGCAATGGCCAAGAGCACCAGGCAGTCCACATCCTCGCTCGTCAGTGGCTGTGCGGCCAGGAATAGCTGTGTTAACCATCCTTTCACCGCATCTGTGCAAATCTCAGCCTTACTGCTATTTTAATAGCTAATACATACTTTAACGATTAACGTCGGCCACCTACTACACTCATTTGTGTTCATGGTTTTATGAACTTCGATCGGCGACCGCCCTGAGCTGAGGGACAAAGCCAAGGACCCTAAGAGCGTCCACAAGCGCTCAGAGCCGCTTGGATACACACGGCTCTGTGGTTGCTGGGCGCGGCTCTAAGACTCACGCGGTGATTGGCTGAAGGAGAGCTTCCGCAGGCACTTCCGACTCTCCACCCGCCCTGAGCATCGGTCATTGGCTGAGCTGGCCGAGCGCGCGGCCTCCCGGGAATCGTAGTTCTTAGTGCTGGGGCGCCTGGAGGGACTGGTGGTTGGAGGCCTGGAGCGGCACTTGCGCTTGGCCGCAGTCCCTGGCACCATGTCCCGTGTGGCGTTGCTCTGCCACGTGAAAGGCACCGTAGCCCTGCAGGTGGGGGACGTGCGAACCTCCCAAGGCCGGCCTGGGGTGTTGGTCATCGATGTCACCTTCCCCAACGTCCCGCCCTTCGAGGTGAGCAAGTCCCATGGGCGCGACCTGGGCTCCTGGGCGGGGCAAATCTGGGAACTGGGGCGTTTCCCTGGCATTTACAGGAAACCTCTGCGGTGGCCCTTGTCCTTGCGAGTTAGCTAACCATTCATGTATCTCCTTCTTCAGTTAACACAGAGTAAATAGAGCCTTCTGTTTTATTCAGCGTCTCCTTACGTCCTGGACAGAGCCAGCTGGGAGGCGCCAGAGAGTAGGCTAGGAGGGGCTGGAAATACATTGAGGTGAGGGCGAGGTTGACTCTGGCCACAGCTGGAGGTCACTGAACAATGGGGTTCCCCAAACCTGCCCTCTCCCCATTTCTGTAGTCCCTGCTGGAGGTCGGGTGTAACTCTTCCCTGCGCAGGAGTCCCCCAGTGAATCCAGTTTCCCATCTCCAGTTGCACTTCCACATCCCTGACAATGTGACCCGGATGCTGCATGGCCTCAGCACAGGATAGAGCCCACCACACTAGTGGCCTGGCTTTCAGGGCCACTCAGTGTGATGTCCCACCTGATTATCAGCCCCATGCACTTTGTGCTGAAGTGTGTGGTTCTCCCTAAACTGCTCCTTACTCTCAGCTGAGAAACTTGGTTAAACATCCCATCCTAAGAAATGCTGATCACTAGGTTTGAGGTAGAGCCTGAACATTGGTATTTTTAAACATTTCTTTGGGGCCAGCATGAGGCTCTGGATTCCCACGTCTGACCACAGTTCTAGGCCCAGAACTGGTGGCTTGTTCTCTCTTTCTCTCTCTCTTTGTCTGGTGAGTGCATGTGTCCAATAGCAAGTTAAAATAATAATAATAATAATAATAATAAATAAAATTAAGTAAATATGTTAATTTTTTTTTTAACTTTCCTTGAGTGATTCTGATGAGTGTCCAGTGAGAACTGTTCCTCTTAGCCAGGCCGAAGCATTCACTGTTCCTGTAGTCTGCCAGGTTCTCTCATCCTCCGTTGCTTTTTCTTTTTTTTTTTTTTTCTTTTATTATTTTTAAAATCTTATTTATTCATTCATTTATTTTAATTTGTCCAGAGAGAGACACAGAGAGCGAGAGAGAGGGAAAGTGAGAAAGCAAGCTACCAGGTCCGGGACTCAAACCGTGGTTGGCCATGTGGGAGTGTCCAGCACCTTAACCACCAAGCCACCTGCTGGTCCCCTCCTCTGTTGCTTTTTTGTCTGTGCTATTTTTACATTCCCTACCTTTCCTGATTCTTCCTCCTTCAAGTTTCACATGTACATTTTCTGGCTCTGATCTCTGGCAGTGTCTTGGACATGTGGCAAGAATAGCCATTGTGGGACCAGCAGTTGGCATAATGGCTGTGTTGCTGGATTCCCACGTAGTCAACTGTGGTTCAAGTCCTGGACCCGGTGGCTTAAACTCACACCGGGTGCGTGTGCGTGCATGCCCAAGATCCCGAGAGGAGAAGGGAGGAGAAGGGATTGTGGCATAGCCATCCCCCCCTGCGGGGGGATTTCTCACTTTCTGTCTCTCTCTGTCCTTCTGGCGAGTGCACACACCCTATAGCAAAAACCTCTCAAAAAAAAGACTAGCTATCATGGTTTGTACAGTCCTGCCCAGTTGCACTGTGAGTACCTCTAGAAATGTGAAATTTCCTGGACCCTAGTGACGCTTACTGAAATTGTTAGTTTAGTGGAAGGGTATGTCCCAGAGGAAGGAGGAGTCGGTATCTTCAAACCTCTCAGGCCCTAGGCCTAGGCCTGCTGGGTCATGGTGGGTTGTGTGTGGTCTAGCTGCAGGAAATCACGTTTAAGAATTACTACACGGCCTTCCTGAGCATCCGTGTCCGTCGGGATACCTCGGTGCACACACCAGCCAAGTGGGTGACCTGCCTGCGGGACTACTGCCTGATGCCCGACCCGCACAGTGAGGAAGGAGCCCAGGAGTATGTGTCGCTGTTCAAGCACCAGGTCAGCTGGGCCTCAGCACGGCCAGGGCAGCCCAGATGAGGACTTCCAAGAGGCCTAGGGATTGGGTCAGTATACCAGGAGGGAAGGGAGAGGAGGAGGCAGGCTAGCCTGGGTGATGGCTTTCAGGCAAATGACTTAGAGAGACAATTGTTCTCTTTCCTGAAGGCCCGGGGAGGTTGCATCTTGGCTCATTGCTGGGTGGAAGTCTTGTGGGCGATGAGCTGGGTCCTCGCTGGGTCCTCATGTGTGTGTGTCAGATGCTGTGTGACATGACTGGAGTCCTGGAGCTGCGTCTGATTCTTCGGCAGCCGTCACCACTCTGGCTGTCTTTCACAGTGGAGGAGCTGCAGATCTACCAGCAGGGACCAAAGGTAAGTGACAGCTTCGAACTGCTGGCCGGCCCTCTGCCCGGGAGGCTTCTAGCTGTGGCTAACTAGGGAAGCTATGGTTGGAGGAGTGGGGTGGTGATCCATAGGAATGAGACTGAGAAGGAGGCCTTCATGAAATTGACAGCATGTGTGTTCAAAGCTCTCGGTGACAGGCGAGGCTGTGTCCCCATATCCCCTTAGCCTTTGGGGCTATTCCCTGCTTTCAGAGCTGAGGCTTACAGATGCTGGGAGGCATCTCTGCAGCGTGTGCTTCTGGGGCCTCCTGGTGCGTAACTGGTGTATAAGTCGCCTGGCTATCCGCTGGGGCCTCTGCAGGCTCTGCAGGGTTCTCCCAGTGTCTGGGGCTCAGGGGCCCTACCCTCTGCTCCGAGGGCCTAAGAATGTGATCTCCAAGTGCTCCCACTGTGTCTCACTCAGAGGACACCTTTGCTTTGCAGACTCCCCCGGTGACCTTTCCCAAGTGGCTGTCCCACCCGGTGCCCAGTGAGCAGCCTACCCCCCTTCTTGAGGTAAGCCCTCCCCCCGGTGGAATCATGTGTGAAGAGCTCTGGTGTCCAGCACAGGCCTCGGTGGGCCCCTGTGTAAGATTCTGGGGCTGGGCCTCTGGGCCCAGTATATTGGGTACCATTTTTCTCATGGGTGCTCTGTGGGACTGAGGCCTCTCGTGTGGCCCTGGGCTGCGTCCTGAACGTCAGGCCCAACCTCGTGTTTCACATGCCACCTGGGAATGTCATTCGGAGGGCCCCATAGCCCAGTGTGGCCTCTCCCGAGCTCTCAGAGCACTGCTGGGGAGAGACCCATGGCCACTGACCCCTCCTTCTGGAGCAGGGTCTCCCAGACCCGAGCAGGGTGTCCTCTGAGGTGCAGCAGATGTGGGCGCTGACAGAGATGATCCGGGCCAGCCACACCTCCACAAGGATCGGCCGCTTCGATGTGAGTGATGGCTTCCCTCTGCGTGGCTCTGCATGGCCCTGCGTGGCTCTGTGAGCCCCTGAGCACGTCAGACCTCGTGGTCTTTTGTTACAGGTGGATGGCTGTTATGACCTGAACTTGCTCTCCTACACTTGAGTGGTAGCTCCTAGCTGAGACGATGGCTTCTTCATGCCCACCAGGCTTGGTTCGGGCCACCAGAGGCCGAAGTGTGTCCCCTGTCGCACTCCCAGTGTTGCCTGCATGCCTGTACTGTCTGGGCCACATTCACTGATTCGAGACTCCTGGGCAAACTCAGTGTAATGGCTCGTTCCTCTAGTCCTGGCTACTTGGGAGACTGAGGCAGGAGGATTACAAGTTGGAGGCCAGTGTGGGCAACATGGCAAGACTCTGTCTCTCTGTAAAAAAAAACAAAACAAAACGACCCTGGGGCGCCTTTTGTTGCTTTAGCATGGGCTCCTGGCAGGGGTGTGCTCCATCTGCAGCCCAGTCTTCCTTCATCTTCTCCCCTGAGAACACGCCAGTTCTACCGAGAATCCCCGAGGGCCTTCTGCCCCTCCTGCCAGCACGCACGCTGCTGTCCCCTGCCTGCTCCTCACCTGTTAGGACTGCTGCCGCTAATGCTGGAAGGCCACTGCTGCCGTGACATTCTGCTGGACTGGGAAGCTTATGGCAGAAACGAACCCCATTTCTTCCACCGAACCCCTTGTGGGCTTCTCTCTGTGCAGTGCTCACAGGAAGAAATTCCCTGCCGCCTTCCTAGGGAGCAAAGCTCAGGATTTCAGTGGCCTGAGTCCCTCAGTCCCCGAGCTGGCTCCTGGATGTGTGTTCAAATGGTACACGCTTCAGGCCTGGGCAGGTGCCTCTGGCGAGCCCACGGCCTGAAAACCAAGGCTTGGGATCTGCTGCCATCTGACACAGCCCCAAACACACCCCATCCCCTCTCCTAGTTGTCCCTTTCCAGCATCATGCTCAGCATGATGAGGGATCAGCCTTGGTGGGAGAGGTGTCCAGGTGAGGATTCTCGCAGTGCCTTTTAGGAGTGAGGCCCTCGTTATCTCAGGCCAACTTGAGCGAGGCAGGTTGCTCTTCCTGAGTGTGAGAAACTTGGAAGAAAGCCCGGCTGTGCTCTGGCTCTTCCTGGCTTTGCTCCTGGGGCTGTTAGGAAGCTGCTGCAGGGTGTGTCAGACCTGCAGAATTGGACCTGTGTGGTTTTATGGGCAAGCTGGGCCACCTTTTGGTGGCCACTCTGCTCTCCCCACTGAGTTCTTACAGGTGGTGTCTTTACCTGCAGGGTCATTTGCTTAATTCACTCAACTCTGTCTGAAGGGGTGCTGACTGTAGTCCCATCTTCGAGGGACACAGCGGTCCTCAGCATGTGTGTGGGGGAAGGACTGTGGGGTGGCAGGGATCGTGCTCAGTCCCAGCGAGATCAATAAACACATGGAATGCATGACTGTGCTGTCTGCCTGTCTGCTCAGCAGGAGAGCGGGGACCCCTGCAAAGGGCTGCCATGGCGCTCGGCCTGCCGGGCTGCTCCGCCCTCTGTGACCTCTCCACACCTCCAGTCCCCATTTGACCTTAAACTCTTGAGGTCCCAACCTGCAAACCCTTGGCAGAACTTTGATCCCTTGGAGGCAGGGCAGAGCAGCAGGGGAGATCCAGCCCCCAGCTCTGGTTCTGGGCAGCCCAATCCGCTCTCTCGGCCTGACCTGCCCACATTCTGATTAGCTGGTGGGAAGAGCCTGGGGCTGTTTGCCTGCAGGCTGGAGTCACTGCACTCTCAGCTCCAAATCCCAGCCTGCCCTCCGGGCTACCCACCCCCTCTCTCATCCCCTGCCCCAGGGAGACCTGTCCTGGGGCCTGGACTACATCTCCCAGCGTGCCTGGCAGAGTGGCGGCCTCTGTGTGCCGTCTGCACCGGGTTCAGGCGACGATGCAGCGGGCAGTGAGCATGGTGGCCCATATGGGCTCTCGCCTGCAGGCGTTCCCCTTGGCCCTGGGTCGTCGCTTCAGTTGTGCGCAGGTGGGGTAGAGGGTGCTGGGGCTTCGTGCTGATCTTGGAGGGCGGGAGAGGGAGGCGGCTGTGGCTAGCGTTCTGGTGGCACTAAGCCCGGCCGCCCGCAGGACGTGCTCTGCAGGACCCCGCTCTATGACTTCCACCTGGCCCATGGCGGGAAAATGGTTGCGTTCGCGGGTTGGAGTCTGCCCGTGCAGTACCAGGACAGCCACGTTTCCTCGCACCTGCACACGCGCCGGCACTGCTCGCTCTTTGATGTGTCCCACATGTTGCAGGTGAGCCAGGGGGCACGCAGGCCGCAGTTCCAGGCCTTCCCCCGCCCCCGCCCCGCACCCGTGGCGGTGCACTCCAGCTCTGCTGGGAGCTGATTCCGAGGACAGCCCCACAGAACAGCTAGAGGTCTCGGGGGTGTCATGACAGATTACAGCCCCGAGGAAGTGGACTCAGGACCTCCGATGTCTCTTCTGTACTCAGCCCAGCCTGCTCCCATTGAGTGGCTGCATGGAACGTCCTGAGTTTTCCAGGGCCGGCGCCCACTTCCCTCCACTGTGCTGAGTACTGGTTTGGAAAAGCGCTATTTTCAGGAAGATGCCAGGTCCCCCTGAGATCTGTGACCTCCCTCAGTCATGCCTGGTGTTGGGGGGTGTGGGGCTATCAAAAGGTGGGGCTTTTGCCTCCTGTAGAACCAAAAACTAGGTCAGCTGCTTCCTGCGCTGTGGGTGTGGGTGGCAGGGAAGATGCCTCCTTGCCTGGTGGCCTTTAGGGTGCAGCTGTAGCAGTGGCCTGATGAAAGATTTTTTTCTTTTTTAAGTTTTGCTATAAGGCACGTGTGCTCACCAGAGAGAGAGAGAGAGAGATCACCCCTGAGGGGAACTGCCATACTGTAATCTCTTCCACATTCTTCTCTCGGGATTTTGGATGCGCACGCACATGTGTCTGGCGTGATTTCCAAGCCCCTGGGTTGGGAACTTGAACCAGGCGGTTGGCCATGTGAGAAATCACCCCTCAAGGGGGAGGCCCATGCTGTAATCCCTTCTCCATTTTCCTCTCAGGATTTTGGGCACACACCCACACGCGCCCAGTGTGGGTTTTAAGCTGCTAGGTCCGGGACTCAAACTATGGTTGACTACTTGGGAGTCCATTACACCACCTGCTGGTCTCGAGCCTGAGGCTTTTCTTTTTTCCAAGAGGTTTTTCGCTATAGGGCGCGTGCGCTCGCCAAACAGACAGAGAGAGACAGAGAGACAGAAAGCGAGAAATCATCCTCCAGGGGGGATGGCCACGCCGCAATCCCTTCTCCTCCATTCTCCTCTTGGGATCTTGGGCACACATGTACACGCGTCCGGTGTGGGTTTTAAGCCACCGGGTCTGGGACGCGAACCATGGTCGACTAACGTGGGAGTCCAGTGACATAGCCATTATGCTAACTGCTGGTTCCGGAGACTTAGGCTTTTCATGTCTTCCCCAGACCAAAATCCTTGGTCGTGACCGGGTGAAGCTGCTGGAGAGTCTAGTGGTTGGAGACATTGCAGAGCTAAGACCAAACCAGGTGGGCCTTTTTATTTCTGCTCTGGGTGCGCTAAACCATGAGGCAGTGACAGGCGGAGTCCCTGCCTCTGGCTTGGGGGCATAGATGCTGTCGCGCAGGGCTTGCAATCTTGGGGACAGAATCCCTGAGTCATTTCCAGACACCCAGCTATCTGGCTGGGAGGCCGGAAACCAAGCTTCCCAAGCTGCTCTCTTCTGACCCCCTATGCTGCCTAACCCTCACTATTCAAAGTGCGGTCCCTAAGCCAGCAGCCTCGCCGCCTCCTATGCGCCTGTTAAAACGTTCAGGTGCTGCTTCAGACCTGCCGAATCGCGAGGTCCTCAGGTGACTTGTGACTGCTAAAACTCAGGCTCTTCACCTATCCTGTGGCGATGCTAAGGCCAGCATTACCGTATTTGGCGGGGACTGGCTGTAGGGTGCTGGCGGAAGTGCCTGGGATCGCCAAGATCACTTTGAAGCTTTTGTCCTGGGCTTGGAGCATGGACCGAGTTGTCCCAGGTCTGGAAGGGTTAAAGCAGTGGGTCCTTGGGTGTTACCGATTAAATGTGAGGGGCGCTCTCAGTACTGACTGGGGAGGAGTGCAGAGACCTCAGGTCACAGAGACTCCACCCAAGGGAGGGAGGGAATGAAAACATACTCTGAATGAAGATCAAGACCTTGCCCTTGAGACCAGGCTGGCCCCTCGCAAACCTTGAGCCCTGTGCATGAGGGTTCTTGCGTTTGTTGGGTGAGTGGGTCCAGGGCTGGGTCTGGCTCCCCCTTGTCTTGGTCTTGGCTTCCTGGACCTGGAGGCAGTATATGCTCCACTTTGGCACTAGGGGACGCTGTCACTGTTCACCAATGAGGCCGGAGGCATCTTAGATGACTTGATCGTGACCAGCACTTCCGAGGGGCACCTGTACGTGGTGTCCAATGCTGGCTGCCGGGACAAGGACTTGGCCCTTCTGCAGGTATGGTTCCTAGGTACCTTGTCATTTTGTTCACAGAGCAACATCCTTGTTTTCTAGGACAGGCCTGGCATGGACAAGGGGCTCAGAAAATGGCCCTTGGGGAACCAGCAGTTAGTGTAATGGCTATGTCGCTGGACCTCCATGTAGTCGACCGTGCTTCAAGTCCCAGATCCGATGGGTTAAACTCACGCCAGGCTCATGTGCGTGCATCCCCAAGATCACAAGAGGAGAAGGGATTGCGGTGTGGGCATCCATGCCCCCCCACCCCCCCACCGGCGGGG